AAAATCATTCAGAGAAGGGTAACGCAAAGACTAAAAACTTGTGAACAAAAAACAAAATATTAGATAAAAAGAATAAAGAAATAAATTTTTTGGGGGACCTTTTTGTCAGCGCCTAACGAGGCTACAACAAAACTCAGCTTGGCACTTGTGTGAAGCGCAGAACATTCGCAACTCCCTTAAACTAATCATCGAATAAATCACTCTTTAGTGATAGCAGCTTTTGGGAACGTAATTTAAAATGGACAGTTGATTCGGAAACAGTAATCGATGGAAACTAGTGAAAACAATGAGGGCCTCTGAGAATGATAGTCGAAATAGATTCTTTCATTTTTCTAGCAAAAACTTAATAACGAAATCAATATAAATGGCACAATACTGAATTATGTAGTAAATAAACGACATAAATAACTAAGCACAACTGAAAAAGCGGTTTTTGGTTATCTGACCTAAAATGAGAGAAAAATTCTGAGCAACTTTTACTCAAACCACGTATTTGGAGAGCTGAAGAACAAAAACCATAGTAGGAAGCTGTCCTATTCGAAATGGAGGGGGAGAAAAAAAAGAAAAGCAGCAAAGAAAAAGTAAAAAAAAGCCCCATAAAAAAAGGTTCCGCACCGGATAAAAGTCGAGAAATTACCAAGGAAAATGTCAAAAACCCAGCAATAGAAGTAAAAGCTGACGTGGAAACTCCGCTCAAATTCTTGTTCTTATAGGGTAGAGGAAGGAAACACAGAATGCTCAGCAGAACGATAAAAAGGAATGCAGTTGGCAGCCTACTAAGAAGCGAAAACTTATCGATCATAGCCGGGCAGGGTGCCAACGACACAGCCACGCCCTTGATTTTTTGTACAACCTTAGTTCATAACAAGGGGAACCCACCGATAAAATAGGAAGCCTTGTCAGTGAAGCCTTGCTTTTCTAGAGTTGGTCATTTTTGAAAGCAGTCACTTGGCCACACAGAGATGTAGATATTTGACAAGCGAGCTTCTGCCACGCTATAAGTTCTCGGCATCAGCTAATATAACAATATTTATAGAACAAAATCTATAGTTTATAACAGGGAACAGTATAACAACAGTACATCAGATCAAAGATACCTAGATGGCTGGATTCTAAACGCCTAAACTACTAATTCGCAAAACGAAACCTAGTTTATATGTCAATCCGGTCGTTAATTCCAGACAAAAAAATAAACAACAAAACGTAAGGCGACAAGCTATCGCGGTAAAAAATTAAATTGCGGCAATTACAGGGTGATTGCGATAAATATAGAAAAGTCAGTAGAAACATGGACAATGTCATCGACTGAACAAAACCGAATCAACATAATCCAAACTATTAAAACAAGGCCTTTTTTAAAATCCACTAATGGAGGGCACCTAAAGCCAACCAAGCACTTCAGACGCTGGACTTTAAACACTCACATATTCAAGACAGTGTCATGAAGATAAGGTGATATCAAAAATAAGAGATAGTTTAATGAGGATGGAGCAATAATTCATGATGTGCGTTTCGTAGCTAGATCCAGCCCTAGTGCTACAACGCACATCTTCCCGAATTTCAGCTCAACCAATGATTAGACCAAGGCCGAACTTTCCAGCTACCTGAAAAATCTTGAATAAATATTCGAAATTAATCTTCTCCACAAAACAAGTGTATTCTGAACAGATCACTGACGTGGACCTTTGCCTACATAGGTTGGTCAAAAAGTTAGAAGAAAAATGAAAATGTATCCCAGAAAATTTCACCAATGTAGTTATAACCATTGCGGAGCGTTGTACTAGCATAAAAACGTCGTAAACAACGTACTCGTCAAGCATCACATTTCTTTTTGACGAAACTTTCCAGGCTCGAAGAACTGATATATGGTTTTACAAATGTAAGATATATGGAATTTTGCACTGTACTATACAATCATTCCAAGGTCAATGGTGAAGTTAACACAACATCAAAATCTGAAAGTTTTTCGGCGTTGACCAATCCCGTCTGAGGGGTACGCCTCCGCATTCAGCCTATGTCAAAATGCTGGCTGGCTGTTGAATGCGTATGTGGCCTATACTTGCGCTGGCCAGCTTATATACAGGACAGAGCTTTTACCCTCCCAATCAAGTCTGGTACCAATCATCCAACCCCGGAGGGAATGGAGACTAGCTTGGCCTAGGCTATTATCGATCCTGGATTCGAGCCATGGTTCATGTGTATGTGGCAGTGCGCCACTTGCCACTACACTACGTCCATCCATGAGACAATATTACACTATTGAAAACCACCCGCAGCTGTCCATCAGAGTTATTTCTGATACTAAGGTGATTGATGTACCGACCAGATATATCGTAAACAAGTATTCTATTGTTAACTGCATCCTAGATGCGGGTGGCATTCCTAGATTCCTATTGTCATTTTATCGAAAAGGAAAATCGATTAGGGGGAAAATTAGATGTATTTATGCGAGTGGTTAGGACCCAGTATATTCATCTTCTAAAAAAAGTAATGGATCTGATGTAAATACGTGGATAACTCGTAAATGAACAAGAGTAGACGAATAGTTTTTAAGGGAGCCAACCACGAGGTGGTCCTATGGCTTTCAATTTCCTTGGATATTTGATGGCTTTTAAAAAATAGGTTTAATATTTCTTGGAGACAATGATAATAAAAAACCAGTTCAATAGCAAAAAAAANAAAAAAAATGAGGAATTACCTTTGCATGATTGAAGATTCCAGAAAGCGCAAGTGTGAAAGGTAGTTGTTGACTTAAACGTTTCTCGAAAACGCCACCAACCGACCTACAGCATTGTTATTAAGTGAGAAAACTCCGAGCTTCCGAAAACAACAACTTCTGAGGTGCTATCACACCAACATCGAACGAGCTCATTTCAGTTCTTTGGTCTTTTCAAAAAAGAAAAAAAAACACGCTTGCACCTGCGCATGGCGACAGGTGAGCTGATGTAACAGACTGATTACTTCGTAGCAAAAAGCATTAGGAACTTTTGCAGTCAAAATAAAATGCATGTTCGAAAACGGTTGTAAACGCACCAGTTCGTATCGATGCTGGCTCTCATGGTTACGCCTTCGTCAGGTAGTTCAGCCACATATGCAAATGTCCCAACCGCCTATAAAAACAAAGTGTTCGCAGGTTTTTTGACTGATTTACCCAAAAGTCTTGAAAACATATCACACACCTCTCCAACATTCGAATTGCTTTCGAATTCTACACCGAATGCAAGATTTTCAGCCTGCTTGTGATAATAAGTAAAATGAGCGCCTTAAATTGAATCATTGATAAACAACATCAATTACTCTATTTACAATCGGGTATTCTTTGAACAGCACCTGAAGAACCGAGTGTAGCAGCAGCTGTCCATACCGGCGTAGTATAACGTGCTCCATACGACAACATAGACACTTGTTGGCCTGAGATAAGAAAACAATAGTGATTACTCATCATGAACTCCAATTGTGATAGCACTGACAATTCTAACAACTGAATGCATTTCTATGACCACCCATGCCTATAACCGTTTTATTCAAAGCGATTTTCCCGCTCATTATGTCGTACATACATACAATAGATAAGGAACCAGTCAAATAGGGACAAATGCATGCAGATCAGTTTTCAGCACAAAGCAGAGCATGCCCGTCCTTCCAGTCCTCATAACAATTTGGACAACCTATAAGTCAAAGGAAAGGGAGGCTGTTCGCAAGCGCTCTAAGCGCAGCCCGGCTTGAAAAATTTGGTGAAAGACCATAGAAAAATTCGAAGCAATCCATAATATTATTATAGTGCTCCTCTAGAAGGACTACGTTCACAACCCTATATTGATTTATTTCATTTCAAGCCTGTTTTCCTATTTTCGAGCTTTATCTCCAACTCCAGTTGGGGTAATGGAAAAGGTATGAACAAGTTCGAGGACTAGTAGGATAAAAACTGGTGAAAAACCAAACGAAGAGATGCATGTTCCGGGAATTTATATCAAATCGACCCACGAAATCGAAAGGAAGGTGTGAATGAAACCTAATTCACAGAGCCTCGCTAATTACCTATGTTATAGATGCTACCTTATGTTCACATCCTCGAAAAGCTGTGCCATACATAACCTTACAATGGTAGCAAAAGAAGAGTAGGAACAAAGCTTGAGAACTCGCATATAATATAGAAGGAAGCAAGACTATAAACTGATAATAACGGTAGCCAAAATGTGATACCTGGGATTTGTTTTCCGTACTGGTAAAGAATTTCAGCGCCGACGTCAAGTCTGTTTGTCAACTTCCGTAACATTTGACCAACAATTACACCGCTCTCGTTTACGAGATCGGTGTTTGCAAATGTTAAACCAAACGTAGTCAGGCGACCTCTGAAAGGAGAAAGGGAAATAGGCATGCGGAGTGAAAAAATGTAATGGAATTAACAAAGAAACCCCCTTGAACCATCCTAACGGCTTAATAATGCAGTGGATGAAAATACCTTCTTTCAAGGCCTCCTTGGGCTCCAACAATTTTGTTTTGCTGCACCTGAGCTTGTACACGTAAACGATAGTTGTCCCCTGAACATGCAATATTCCGAAAAAAACAATACAAACCACACTGACAAAGCAGAGAAACACTTACCGAACTGATGTAAAACTGTTGCTGTAGTATTGCCTGAGACATCAGTGTCTCCTAAAAAGATTGGATACTGTTCTTGTGGTCCAGCTACTTTGGTGCCCACGTATGTGGCACCAAATCGATACCCTGTATTCGTTGGAGAAATCGACAACGTATGAGAAACCTAAAAAGCCACGGAATATCGGAAAACTCTGCATAACATGATGTCATTAGAGCTGCGGTATTGGTTAGTTTTCAGAAAATTAGTCTTTGAAAGACATACCTGAAAGTGTGAGCTGAGCCCTTTTGTCACCATGACCTTAGCACCCTCGAAACACATTGGAAAGACATCACGACATTTACGATGCAGTTCTTCGAAACTGCCTGAAATACGATTCATCGTATAAAGGGAAGTAGCAGGAATTGAAGAAAAACAAAGCAAACGTTGGCTAAACAGCGACATTCCTAGTGGAGTCCTCTTTATCCCTTTTTTTCTACAAAATTCCCTACAGCTGTCCCAATCAATGCTTCGTTTCGATCTATGTCAAATGAAGGAAATGAAGGCAAAATAAAAGTAAACTGCAGGCTATTAGGTACTTTTTGTATCGGTTAAACTAGCGCATTGCGCTTGGTGCACCTATACCGTGTTCCAAATTCTTAGGAACCAGAAGCACTGCCAATTTTTCAGTATTTTTATATAAACACGTTTCAAAAAGACCGAAAAAAAAAGAAAATTCGAGAAGGAATCTCCGTAGAAACCTTTCTATAATGCTTCAAAGGTGCTTACCATAATTGATCAATATTGCGTTTTATTAAGTATTGAATGCTTTGCAAACTAATATTCCAAAATACTTTACCTGGGTTGGTTGAAGGTTTTGCAGGCGCAGCAGTTGCATCTGATGGAGGTTGAGCCATTTCAAAACCCTTAAATGAAATTTTATAAACCTACAATTGAACTCTGAACTGAAAAACGAACAAACTAAATAATCTCGCGTAAACAACAAAGAAACGACACAACACAAAGAAGATAGATATAAAGTTACTGTACGAATCTTAAAATAAAATCACAATGAACCTCGCCGTAAATGTAACTCATAATCTTATCGAAAGTTTGAAAGTTCTAAAAACTAAGGAAAACGTGCAATTCAGGAAAAAGATTCCTTTTTAGAAGTTCAGCATAGGGAACCATGTGGATTACCTCTCAAAAAGTAGTAAACACAACAGATTTGGGCAAAGTAATCAACAAACATGTTTTGAATTATGTAATAAACTTAAACACGACGACAATTCACAGAACAACTACATGTAAACGTTAAGATTAGCGATCGCAAAAATTGTGTGTCGTCGGCCTGAATTCTTTGCGAGACCCAACGCTCGTTGTGTTGGGCTCCTTTATTCATCACTGATAACGTAGAATTGTACTTTTGGTAGGAGAATAATGAGTTCCATGGAAATCCATGTGAACAGTGGGTCTTCGCAAAGCAAGAGGGAGTAATACCGGAATCGGAGGGTAAAAGAGTAAAGAGTAGAGAAGTAAAAGAAGCGAAAGGGGTGAAATATTCCCCATTCCACTGAAAAAGGACTACTGATATCAACAATCGATCATTCTTTCGTTAAGAACAAGGCTAATTGTGGTTTTGGCAATATCGATTTCACTTATCAGGGATGCGCCATGCATTCGACTTACACTCCCAGATGTTCCATCTCTTCCTACTCCTTTCACCAAATAGTGCAGCCTCGACTTTTCCCCTTTCTTTATTTGTTTTTCAATTCTAATCGATTTTTCTCCTCATTATTCGACAATTTGATGAGACCTTAATAATTCATACTTTGCCTTTTCATTGCTACATTTCATTGCTGATTGGAGTCTCGGTTCGAAGACCTATGTCGAAAGCTTTTGGGGATCTGATGATGACGAGAGTGTAGAAAAGGAGGTCAAATAGAGCGTCACTTTCATTTTACAAAGCTTTACAAACACATTTGAAATGTTTGCATGACCAGCTCTTTCCGCCGTATGGACGGAATCCGCGAAGTAGGCGGGCATTGTCGAATGGGGCGTGGCTTCTTTTTCAAGCTGTGCGTGTGCTTTACGAGAGGAGAAACTTCCTCTCTGGCGGTTACTTGCAAAACTTGAAATTATGAGGGAAATTCTATATTTTCATTGGAAAACCATCAATTTAGAATTCTACTGTATCAAGCTGGAGATGAAGACGGGAGATGAATACTGAACTTCCTCAGTTTGATGGCATAGCCGGAGGATAAACCCCACTTAGTCTGCTCCCTATTCGAACCACCACGATGAGAGATTTTCCAGGTTCGTAACAATGATACATTTATTGGTTTGGCAATAGTTAACGAGCAGGTTTAGGTACTCACAAAAAATGATCACAACACATGAAACTTATGCGCGCAGTCGCGCAGCGGCCAATACGGGTAGTCTTTGCAGACAAATTTAAATTTTTAAACTTTCAAGTAATGGCAGTCACCAAGTGAAGTCAGGCATAAGTAAGAGCAAGTAATTTTTATACAGATTTTCATATAACAGCAAATATTATTAATGGCAGTGGCCACGCAGGACATGTGGGCGGAGTCTTTGAGACCCTTGAGCGCTTCCCATTGGTGGGTCATCCTTAAACGTGGGATATACCAATGGAAAACATAAAATGGTCCCAAAGACGCCGTTGAAATGCCCAGTGTGGACGTTGCCTTTTGAAAACATCATCGAAGGCCATTAAAACATCTGGTGGCAATGAAAGTCAGACGGTTAGTTTAGGGTGTGACTTCGGTTGTGAAGTAAAGCACGAGTCAGGAATGTCATTGAAAATACTCCAATCGGGTTCTTTGGATGTCATCGACGGATACCAGTACTCTTCTTTGTATAGCGAGAAATTTGATGTATGCGGAAAATACAGCTCCCATCCATATGTTGCATCTGAAATGAAGGGTTCATTCCAAACAGCTATGAGCTTAATCATCAATTTATATCAGAAAGAAAAAAGGAGTTGAAGGTGAAAGACTGATTGTTTTGAGTCACTTCTCAAGGCATTTATCGGAAATTCATTGTGATAAGGGAAACCTTGTAGGGGACAGAGCTAGAACTCGCTTTTGGGTTTCTTTTTTATTAAAAAGGGTTCAAAATGACCTGAGGGAAGTGAGTGAAGGTATATTCTAAGTAATTGCGATTCATAATGTTGAGGTCCTCTTCAACGGAAAGCCAAAGATTTGACAAGTACTAAACTCATGAGTGAGGAGTAAGGTCATATACAGGTACCGCAGTTAACAGAGATCCTCCTCGGAGATCACGTTCAGGTGGGGCACACTCCTACCTATGGGAAACATCCCAACAAATTATTTCGATACCTGGCCTGCCCTTTGAGATTTCTAAAAAACCTTGGGAAGGGTACGCTTTCGTTGTGAAATGTATCGTGGAGGACCAGACGATTATAAACTGATCAACAAGGTTTCCTTATTTCCAGATCTATTAATCATTAGTCTTGGGAGAATTCGGAAGAATTGAAGTTTTTGGTAGCCCAAGTAGGAGTTCACCACTTCTTCAACATCAATTGATGCAACTGATAGCAGTGCCACGTCCCAGTGCCCACGTTTGTTCAAACTACTTCCGTTCGCATCGGAAGCAAATAGAGTAAAGAAGTAGTTAATCAAGATGTCATAATTCAGAGAAATTCATACTTCTATGTTCTGCAGAGTATCCTCTGATAAGGGCTGGATGATGGCCGTCGATGTTAACATCCTCGGGCGGCTCGCCTTCAAACACGATCACATCCTTGTAACGACCATTTAATGAGATTTTCTCATCACGTTGTTTTCTTATATATGTCAGGCCCATCCTGTAATACATTCCTTTGAATTTTATATTTTTTCTAATGCTTCAACTATGATTGGCATCGAATAATACAGAACTTTTGCTCAAAAAACAATTACTATACGAGCATGCCTCGTACCCTGGATGTGATAATAAAGAGTAATAACAACAGATGTAATAACGACATATATTTCAAATAAGTGTAAGGAGAAGTTCTGAGGTTACGCAGCCCCAGACTTTATTGGTTCCCGAAGCTTCGCAGAATTCATTTGGGGGCGGGCTTCCTGCAACAATTGTGCTTTCCTCATTGGCCCCTTGCTTACCGAAGGGAAATATCATTAGTGATCGCAGTTTAGATACCCCATCTTCACACCCGTTTCAGCTATCAACACTACCTCAAGAAAAAATCGAAACATCGATATCCCAGAAGGGAATGGCAAGCACAAATCTTTCTCAACAGAGCTTTTCGAAAACCGCTAACTTATTAGTTTTCCATGTCCGAATGGGAACTTCCAATAATCAAGCTTAGGGTGAAACGGTATGACCAGTGGTTCAGAGCCAGCCACCTTTAGCTCCTCCATTTCAAATCTCTGAACACTATTTTCTATTCATTTACGGAGGTGATGAATAGGCAAGTAGCACACCATCACTTACCCTAGGTCAGGGGATAAAATAAAGGGTCGATATTCGCCCAGGTCAAGCAGGCCTTCTACCCTTTCGGGATCCGTTGGTTGGTACCAGACTCGTCTGCAAGGATGAAAGCACTAAATTGTACTGGAATGGCCACCGCAAGTCATCGAATAATATACATACGCATTCAACCCATCACTTCGATTTCCTCCCCAATGGATGTCGAATGCGAGGCGCACCCCAAAACGGGATTGATTAACGGTAGAAACTTCATCCTTCATTCTTTTCTTTTCTCAAAATCTGCCGGGATTTCAAAGTAAATAAAATAAGATTGAGGAAAATAATAACTGAGCCATTAACCAGATTCGGAATTTTCAAATCAAAATGAAGAACCTGACCCCTCTAGAAAGTCTTGGTAGCCCTGTGGCATTGATGTACATCGCAGTTTCGTTTCAAAAAACGTGACATCTTCGAATACATAGTATGAGTACTGCCAATCGTTTGGTGTCAGTCCTACACGATGATACAGACGCTTCTTGACAGCATCTTGGACCCAATCGGTGCCATATGTAATATACTAAACGAAACTTTTTAGATTTTTCTCAAAGGGACAGGTATGTAAGCTTCCTTGAAAGGCTATTGGCACCAAGTTTACCCTCAAAATTGTATTTAGCCTCAAGCCCTGTATTTGTCAGTGCAAAAATCATTACTATATATAAAGCGCTCTGTCTGTCTGTCTGTCTGTTTGTTTGTTTGTTTGTACGGAAATTCGATATAACCTGAAGAAGCACCTGGAGAAGTTGGGTCAAGTTTGGAATGGGTTGAGCATAGGGTAAGTGCAACAGAGCACATGTGAGCCTAACGGAGCT